ATCTATCTATCTATCTATCTATCTATCTATCTATCTATCTATCTATCCTGAGGATGTAGTTTACTAAGATTTATTAAGTGCTTTAGTATTTAATTCCATGTCAAATGGCAAGACAAGTTTATTTGTAATTTGCACATTGTTATTATTTTGCACATTTGCACATTTTGTGTACAAGATCATTCAAAGTGCTTTACAAAGAATTTAAAAGCAGAATAAACAAAGAAAAAAAGAATCTTTAAAATAAATACGATAGCTAAAAAGTAAAGGTTTCAGATCAAATACATTCATTTTCCATATGCACAGTTAAACAGAACCATTTTAAGCCTGGATTTAAAAACATTGTCAGATTGGAGGCCTTTCTCACCTCTTCTGGAAGACTGTTCCAGATTTTAGAAGCATGAAACAAAAATGAAGCCCCTCCTTGTTTAGTTCTGACTCTGGGAAACAGCAGGAGACCAGAACCTGAGGTTCTCAGAGTCTGAGCTGGTTCCTATGGCTCAAACATGTCAGAAACGTATTATGAAGAGACTCGTACACAAGCACAGCTGTAGTAAAGTCTATTCTCTGAGTTACAGAGACCTGAGCTCTGGGCTGGCCGTTGCTGACGTGTAGGTAAATCCAGGTTTGATACATATACAGAATGTTTCGGTCTCTGAAGGCTGACTAATCTTTTAGTGTTACGCATCAAAACAGGAATGAAGGAAGTTACTTCCACATGGGGCCCCGGCTTATCCTGGCCATGGGTACATGTAGTACTGCTGCCTGGACCCGGTACATATCAGATTGAGTTTACTGATACTCTATGAGCCAGGTACTGCAGGGCTCCTGGTGCTGTTTCTACTGGAGAAACCAGCTCTGTGCTCCTCTGGTCATTAAAGGCCGAAGTGACCTTTGGAGTTTATGGTGGGGGAGGAGGAGGGAGAGGGCAACGGCGTGGCCAGCTCCTTCATGTGGTCCATTAGGTCCAGTTAGGGAAGACATGGGGAGGATGACCTAGATGAGGGGGCGTCCTCATTCCTGCCTTTTGGTGGAGGCGCAGGAGGGGGGTGGGGCGTCGCAATCTCAAGGTAATTCCATGTCAAATGTGCCAATTCCATGTTAAATGTGCCAAATATCACATTTTACTTTAAAAGGACTCCGGAACTGTGCTAGTTTTAACATGAATGGAAACCCACTAGTGGTTCAGTGACACACAAGGCCTTTATGATAAGGAGTATTTCCACTCTGCCGTTAATCCACAATGACATGCCTGGGGTTAATCTTGAGCACTAACCCAGATCCTGAAAATGGCTTAGTGTGAGTCCTGCTGAAGGTTGCGTTAAGGATCAGTAGCTTGCCTTTTCCCACATCAAATGTCAGGTGGAGGCCATGGGACTGTAAGAAAATTGTGAGAGGTCACTTTTGCCTCTGTGTAAATTGACTAAATTACAACATTATATCCAAACACAATGAAAAAAAGGTTTTCAGTTGACATTTAACCAAGATTTTTTGCAAGACAAGTCTTGATTTAATGTAAATGCACAAAGATGAACAAAAACCTAGCATTAAAAAAGGAAGAAACAGTTGAAGTGCTAAATAAATAAACCATACTTAGATTATATGATTCAGATTTCTGTACAAAATCAAGGTTATAAACATGAAATAATCATTCTTTAAAAAGACAAAAGACAGACATAAATCTAATTGTCTCGTTAGGCCTTATTATTACCACCTGTGTCACGTTTCGCCTTCTTTTTTGGCTTTCATTTCTCAACCTGGAACAAAATATGAAACCAACTTTCACGACATGCAGTTGGTACGTCATTTTAGCTACTCTTCACTTTTGTTTTCCACATGTTTCTCATGTAAAAAATTATGTTTTTAATAATCTGCTGCCGTAATAAGAGAGAGGCAATGCACGGATGAATGAAATCTCGTTTCTGTGTTCAGCATCTGTCAATAAACGATTACACGTTGCTCACAAATCCATCATTTCTGTTGTACGCGTCCAGCTCTGTGTGCAGATTGTGTGAATCTCTCTCCTTCCCGTTCAGCTGTTAAGGCCCATGATTGTTTAATCTCATCAAGGGGGATTGGTGACATCATGTCCAATCCTGTGGTGACCTCGCCCAAAACGTAGCTGTTGGGATGAGCCGGGATGAGGAGCAGTGGGACGGGACCGACCAGTCGTACTCGAGAGGCACCCAGACAGGAGGAGGTATCCAGTTGATGAGCTCTTAGGAGCCGAAATATTTCTCTGATTGTTGTGGATCCCGCCATTCAACAGGTAATACTGATGACTGACATATTTTATTGCCATAATTTGTTCAGCTGTGATATTGCTTTTAAGACATGAATTGAGAAAACAGCCATGTTTCATACTTTGGAAAATAATGATGAAACTTGTAGGTGTTCTTTCAGGCATTCTTGGACATTCTTTAACAATTTACCTTGATTTTTTCTCACAGTCAGGATGGCTCGGGATATGTCAGATAAGGACATCTTGAAAATGGAGTTGGACCAGTTGAAGAAAGAAGTTAATACACCAAGGACGGCAGTGAGTATTTTTCTTTTCTCTTTTCACTGACCTTCCCTTTATCCCCCGATGCCTTTTCCCTTTAATCGACATAGAAATAAAAAGCATTGACAGATGCTGGGTACTTTTTTGAATAGAGATTTTGAGGCTACCAAATCTATTCTTTACTTATTTGCCCAATTTCTCCCATAAACAGGTGAGTGCAAACTGCGCGGACACTATTACTTTCGTTGAAACAGAGATGCCAAACGATCCGCTGATTAAAGGCGTCCCGGATGACAAGAACCCCTACAAGGGAGACAAAGGAGGCTGCGTGGTAACATAGCACATGGAGAGGCATTCAAGGAAAAGCTGCAGTTTTTTATCAGAGATGGTTACATTGCTGTGATCTTCCTGTAGAATGCGTGTGCATAAATGTACAGTAGAAAAAAAAGAAAAAGTTGCAGAATAATGTAACGGAGTAGCTACCAGAAGAGGGACCCTTCACAACGCAGGATCACTGTGTGTACCTGTTGAATGTGTGTCAATTTGTAATTAAAAGCAAATAGTTGTTCAAACCTTCAATCTGACCTGAATGCTCTGATTATTCTTATTTACATCGGTGTATTTTACCCTCCTAATCTTAAAGTTATTTTTTATTTTGTTGCCATGCCAACGTGTCACTCTTCTGTTTTTGTGTGCGGAGTGGGAAAAGTGGGAAAAGTCGTAGAACCCCATGTTTAATTCTAGTTGCTAATAGGATTTCTTTGCTGGAGCACAGTCGGCCACTCTGGCCTGTTGACACAGATCCGCTTCCTGTCTCAAAGTCTTTAAGCTTATTCCTCTCTCCGTCTTGGTTTCCCTTTTGAGCCATCCATCCAATTAGTGTCATTCTGAATCCAATAAAAGGAAGTTGTTGAACACGAGGTATTAAATAGTCAGCCATGGAGTCAGTTTGCATTAAGATTATATCAGTAGCTGTCTCTGGGTGTCAGATTTATGGAGGCCCACTGAATATCTTATGATCTGACATGTTTCGTGTTATCTGTTCCTCCACATCCATTGGCTCAAAGTCAGCTGAACGCCAAAAATGATATAACTGGAGTGTAAAGTCCATGCACATTTTCATTGAAATGATGGTGCAAGAAAACGGTGTTATCACACAACACCGGATTTAAGTTTATCAGCTACTTTTATGGATGTGATGAGAATACACTGCAGATAATGCGGAGCCTTTACGTAAGTGAGCGCTCTCGTCTTTGAAAGAGATTCACGAGTGTGGCTCAGTTTCAACACCGACTCTTTTCTTATCTGACCTGGAATTCTGATGCTCGATGATCTCACTCAGCCACACCGTTGTAAAAACTTGAACTTGATACAAAACCTATAAAGTCTGCTGTGAGTTGTCAATAGCGATTTATCTAAATTGCCTTATCAGATAAGCACCAGGACCATATCACATCTATATAGGTTAACCTGAGCTGACTACCATGAGACAAACAACAAAGCAAATATTCCTTTTACAATTCAGGTTCTCCTAATCATATGAATCTAGGTAGGAATACACCACCCCCCAGAAGTGAGCAAATAATGATAATATAAGTAGAGGAAAGCAAAAATGCTTTAGATTTGTTTTGGAACATTTTCCTGTGGTGCCCATCCTCATTTTGTACATGGTCATTTCAAGAAAAAGTTGCTTTCTCCACTTTATCTTTACTGCTCGTCATAAATCAGGCAGCGCTGCACATCACCCCCCTACCCGTCTTCTACAGACCTTGAGCACTGGCACAGGAACACAATAAAAGGCGCCTCAGATGGGTCCATTGTTCAGAACAGCGAGCCCTGCTACAGAAACACCGCTTCCATCGCTTCAAAGATGTGGCTCTTGATCTTCTTGGTGTGGCTGGCGGTATGGGCCGGCGGCACGTACTGGTACTTGTTCGGGAAACCCAGCCCTTTCTCTTTGGAGTCCGTGCGACCCCCCGGACCCCGTGAGTTTGACCAGAAGAAGCGGGACAAAGTAATCAAACAAGGTAAAACCAAAGCAGGTTGAATAGTCGATGTAAGGCCTTCATGAAAAATCCACTGACTGTGATGAGTTTATATTACAGTTCTGTTGCATTTCTTGAAATATTTAAATCAATAAAATTGCTTGTCGCTTCATAATCTACTTCTAAAAGGAACAGTAACCATCTGCGTGTGGATCATTTTCATACATTATAGAGAAATACTAGAGATGTGTGTGATCTGTCTCTTATGACTACGTTTCAGTTTTTGCTTTAACACAAACTGAACTGGATATTACCTCCCGGCATGCCAACATTTTGAATGTCGACTACTTAAATCTGCATATGCTTTTTTCATTCTGTTGCATGAAATAAAAAAGCTGAGGAAAAAAAAGATTGATTAAATAAAGAGTGCTCGTTAGTTAGTCGAAATTTGTTTTGGATTACAGTTTCCTTTATCTAAAAAAATGAACATCTTTAATGTTTCACATTTCCTCCCTGCTGCAGTCTCAACTCTTCGTAGATTAAAGAAGTTAATTGCTGAATGTTTTTGCATTCCTTTTCTAAGAAAATCAAGATAAAAATTCAAAATTCATGGAAATTCAGTAGAAGATAAGTTAGTACTTGAGTTTAGTCAGAAATGAGCTATTCTCCCTGTTGCTTCACATTTTCCGATTATTACTGTTTTAAAATGATTCAAATGCACTTTGTCCAGTCTGATATGGTATCATAAGATAAAACCAGAGAAACCAGAGAATTTTTGGACAGTTAACCACGTAATCGTTTTGAAATCTGTGAATGAAGGCTCTGGTTACCTGATAAAAAGACAATCTTTTGGAGAGATCTTTGGCCTACAAACATTTCACTCTGGCAGATATTTCTGCTGAGGTGTGCAGAGGCCTCTATCTGAATGCTCTGTTTGCAGAGCCATAAATCAGACTAGGGATCAGATCTAAATTAGATTTGTTGGATCTGCTTTTCATGTTTATGTTTTATCTAAATTAGATTCTGATTAGGAGGTCCTGATAACTTTCAAATCTACTGTTTATCACAGACAGCTGAGCAAAGATCTAGTCCTCATTTTATTATCAACAACAGGAAAGGTGTGCAGTCCGACCTTCAGACCACACTGTAAATCCCATTGTGTAACACATTTTAAAGTCTCAGGATCAGCATTTAATTCCAGCTTTACTGAACCACAACAATGAAGCGTATCATTTTATTAGTCCTGCATGTTGTTTTTTTTAATTCAACTTTTTTTTTATTGATCAAACTTTAAACACACACAAACAAGGTCCATATAGTTACATTATATTACATATATATACAATAGTTACATTGTCCTATTGTACATAGTTTCCTTATACGCCACCTTGACATCTCCAACAGAAAATATGGTCCAGAAAATAGCAGTAATAATAAATGGAAACAGAAATATAATTGTTATCATCAGATACACATCATGTCCCTTTCATGTGTACCCAGAAATAATCCCATCATTCGTTTCTCATCATTCAGCCTTTCCAGCATACTCTCATAGGAGGCTGCTTCAATTACTGAATTGACCCAGTCTTTTAACTCCAAAGTTTTCCTGTATGTTTCTTTCCAGGTTTCAGTGTTGACAAAGTTCCTGAAAACCTGGATGTCATCGTCATTGGTAGTGGGATCGGCGGGCTGACAGCCGGGGCCACATTGTCCAAAGCAGGAAAGAAAGTCCTGGTCCTGGAACAGCATGACCAGGCCGGAGGATGCTGTCACACCTACATCGAGAAAGGCTTCGAGTTTGACGTTGGTAAGAGGGCTTATCAACACGTTCCTGCATGCTTTTTTGAAGCTAAAGGGTTTATAGTTTCAGACAAGTTTTCCTGCATTCTGCTTAGCAGACTGAACGCAGGAAGAAAGGACACTTCATAGGAAATACTTGTAAAACAATATGACATTTGGCTTTGCAAATCACCTGAACTCAGACTCACCCTGCTCACCCTGGTCACTAATTTGTCTCCAGGTCTTCACTATATCGGTCAAGTCCATGAAAACAGTCTGCTGCGAATCGCCTTTGACCAGATCACTGAAGGGCAGCTGGAGTTTCAGGAGCTAAATCCGCATTTCGACACCATCCAGATCGGAGTGGGTGACGAGAAGCGGGAGTACACCATCGTGTCCGGTAAAAGTGAAATGAAAGCTCATCTGATGAAGCAGTTTCCTGATGAGACGGAGGCCATCGAGGAATTCTTCAAAACCATGAAGGTTAGGACTACCAAAAGGTACACGTGTCGGTTTCTTTTGTCCTAAATGCTCAAGAGGAGCTTCTGAATCTCTTCCCCTCGGCAGGTCTCAGCTAAGAAGACCCACTACCTGGCAACGCTGAAGCTGATCCCTCAGTGGGTGGCTTTGTTCCTGCTGAAGTCTGGCATTGCAGACTTTGCCTCTTCGGTCTTCCGTCTTTCCGGCACCAGAGCGTCTGATTTTGTAGACGCGCTGACCAAAAACAAGGATCTCCAAGTCATTTTTTCTTATCTCTTCTATGGTGGGTCCCCGTATAAGAACACTCACCGACAAGCTTCATGCTCCACAGAGCACCTTATCATGTCCATGCTGAACTCGTGCAGGTGTGCCCCCGAAGGACTCCAGTGTTCTGATCAACGCCCTCCTGATTCACCACTACAAACGGGGAGCCTACTACCCCAAAGGCGGCGCCAGCGAGATCGCTTTTCACATCATCCGCACCATCCAGAAAAGTGGAGGGAACTGCCTGGTCAGAGCCCCCGTCTCCCAAATCCTGGTCAACGAGAAGGGAGCGGCTTACGGTAAGAACTGAATCAAGCTCTTTTTAAAACAGTTTTTAAAGAAAAGGTTTTAAGGTCAAGATGTTGCCAGGTACAGACTTTCTCTATGTCTGTGTCTGGCAGGTGTGAAGGTGAGGAAAGGCCAGGAGGAAGTGGAAATCCACGCGCCTGTCGTTGTTTCGAACTGCGGCATCTTCACCACCTTCCAGAAACTCCTCCCACCCGAGATTCAGGTCAAACAAGGTGAGCGACCGGCCTGGCGTTGATCTAAACCTGAGCAGTGAGATGGACGCAGAGCCTGAAAACACCTTTGCTGTACTGTAGGCATCCAGGACAGACTGAACATGATGAAGCACGGCAGAGGTTCGTTCTTGGTCTTCTCTGGATTTGATGGAACTCAGGAGGAATTGGGCCTGGTGTCCACTAACTTCTGGCTTTTCAAGAACAATGACATGGACAAGTCGTGAGTGTACTAACTACATTTTATGCTGATGGTAGGAAAAAGACTGTTAACCACAAGGGGGCGCTATTGTATTAGAAAGAAATCAGGGCTGTTCAGAGCCACTGGCTTCTAGAGAGGTATACACTCAACACAAAGAAAGACAAAGTAAATTATTATGCTTATTTTAGCCGTGTTCTCTTGTCCGCTTAGAATTTATCTAACTGTTTTCTTTTAATTGAATTTTCTTTTAGAATGGAGGAGTTCTTTGCCATGAGCAAGGAAGAAGCACCTGATAACATCCCCATGATGTTCATCACAATGCCTTCTGCCAAAGACCCTGAAGCCAAATTACGGCATCCTGGTATGATATTTCTTTATCAAAATGAGCAACAAGAATTTCAAAAGAAAAAGGAAGCAAAACACATGTATGGGATAGTAGTAGTTTCTATCTTTGAAATAAAACAATGACAAAAACCACGTCCAAGTGTCCCAACTGGTCACACATCTTTTGCTCTCTGCTCCTTTGGTGATCTCAGGAAAATCTTGCATGACCATACTGACCATGGTCAACTATGAGTGGTTTGAAGAGTGGAAAGACACCTCCGTGCGCAAAAGGGGGGATGAGTACTACAACTACAAAATGAGATTTGCCAACCACCTCTTCGACTGGGCCTGCACGCTGTTCCCCAAGATCAAAGACAAGGTGGGGAATCTGTCAGTTTCTGTCCGACATCCACACCACGGCCGAGTTGTTCTTTTGCGCGTGACCACTAGTTTTTTGTGTATGACTTGTTTTTCAGCTGGTTTTCCAGGACGTGGCGACCCCACTCACCAATTCGCACTACCTGGGCTCTCAGCGTGGAGCCATGTACTCCGCTGAGCACAACCTGGAGCGTTTTTATGCCGAGAGCGTGGCCAGGAACAGGTGCAACACCCCTGTCAAAAACCTCTTCATCTCAGGTGTGAAAACGGCGTGCTTTTCCCAACCGAAACGGGACAGATTAACGTTCTTGTGTGCGTTGGGTCACAGAGTGAAAAAGTGGGACGATCTTTCCTCATTTGTGGCGTTTTCTTGTTTCAGGCCAAGATGTGTTTAGCTGTGGGATAGCAGGCGCCCTGCACGGCGGCCTCCTCTGCGCCTCCACGGTCTTAGATCATATCGTCTACATCGACTTGCTCCTCCTCAAGAAGAAGCTGAAGAGGAGGAAAGCCAGAGAGTTGGCCGGGCTGGCTAAGAAGCTGCAGTGAGCACTCCCCACTTCCCCCGAAGGGCAACGAGGAGACTGCAGAATGTAGAAAGCAACGTTTGCAGGAATACACTGATCTGATCCAATCTACACGCACTTTTCTGATGCTGAGGAGGGATAACAGGGATGTCCTGTTTATGCGTTCGACACTGTCACATTGATTTATTCAGTATTTAAAACTGTTCACTCATAGGGAAGGTCAGTGTCTCTTCATCAGATTGTACTTTGTTTGGCCTTGACATTATTGACTTGTTGAACTGTGAATATGACCAACACAGACAACAACAAAAATGGCAGGAAATTACCCGTTGCTGGGCCTTTGGGTTTCGGATGGTTTCCGAAATGATGCTTGTGCTGGCCCCTTAGACTCAGGTGGCATCCAGATATATTTTTGCCTGTGTTTATTCCTGTGCTTTTCCTACTGTCAGTGTTATTGCTCCGTTTTGCTGTATTTAGGGGTATAATTACCTTTAAGTTGCTGCACTGTGTTTGTTTCAGCTGTCATGCAATGGATAACAACACCTGGATAACAAATGAAGAAATCTGAACTTGAATTCTCATAAAAAATTTTTTAGGGTTTTGATGTTTTTTTCTCAATAAACTCAATTGAACAAATAAAGATGACATTATAAAATTTGCAATGTTATTTCAATAAAATGCCACTGAACGACAAAACTGGAAAGAATTTGTTAAAGTCATGAGGGCACTCAATAAAAATGGAGGTAAAAGCATGTAGAAAGTCTGATTTCATGGAAGTCCTCTTACAGAATATCACCTTTAATAAATCCTAAACGTGTAAAGGCTGCAAACAGCACATATCCAACAGGTGAGCTGAGCTTTAAAGGTTCCTCTGGGTTTAGTTCCCACCAATGTTGATCTGACCCGGCGTGTAACCCTGATGTTGTTTGGGTAACTCCAGAAATCAAACATAGGGGCTGAAACCTCAGACTTCCTGCACTAAGTGAACATTTCCTCAGCCAAAGGAGGGCAGATTGGCCGACAAGCTGTGGTCTGTAGGGGACGACCGGGGGGGATCCGAGCCGAAGAAAGGACCCTCTGTCCAGGCAGACGCTGGGATGCCAGAACCACTCTTGCTCTTCCCTCTGCTGAACAAATCCAGGGGAAGCTCTAGCTGTGACTGAAAATGTTTCGGGCTACTTATATTACTCAAGTCGCAGTTTGTCTTTAAATCTAATGAAAACGCTAAAGCTAAAAAAGGCTCAAGGTTGAAAAATCCAAAAGGGAGGGGGGAGTTAATTATACTGATTTTGCATGGCTGGAAACTCCAGTAGACCAAAACATGTCATTACCGTGGTATTATAAGGGCATTTCTTCACCAGAAATAAACACATCAGTAGCTTTGACATTCTTATGCTTCAGTCTGACTGACTCAGAGTCTAACCTAAACTGAGTTTATCCACCTTCAGAGTTCAGAAATGGTTAGACTTGTCTTTTTTTTACCAAGTGACGTGGCTGTGGGAGTTGGTCTGTCAGCTGGTGGCTCATTCTGTTCACTGATTCGGTCCAGGCTGCAACATTTAAAGTTAGTGTGAATTAAAACCCTACTGACTTGAATGTGTCCAAGACTTTGTGCCATAATTGTGGTAATACCAATGATAGTTTAATGCTGATACTGCAGTCAGTCTTGTTTTCCTTAAGTTGACAATCAATGTTACATAAAGATTTTATTGATTCTCTCTAGTTGCTGAAGTCCCAGAAAGCTGAAACAAAAAACCAAAACCAAAAAATAAAAAATTGGGGCAGTTTATGAAAGTTCAGCTGTTTTTTTTACCATTTGGAAAACCTTTCATTAAAAAAGACAAAAAGGTTTTGCGGCTTCTGTGTAAATGCAGAGCATAAATACAGAGAACAGAACCATCTCAGGCAAGACGTGCACAAATCTGACGGAACGCCGATCTGCGCGTGCCAAAATCTTAAGATCTGAGGTGGAATTTATGTATTTCTTGACCAGCCGAACTGCTTCAACCCTCCTTCTCCTCTTTTTTTTTTCTAGCAGGAGGCTCCCACATGTTTAGACGTGCTCTTACATTAGGAGAGGCCCAGAGGGCTCAAACTTAACAAAAGCACTCCACTTTTCTGGGTGGCTCCACCATTTTTCTTTCCTCTCCTTACCCTGCAGATGCATACTACTGTGGTAAATCTTCACTGCTAAATTCACTGCTAACACTACAAGCATCTAAAATATTTTCTTTTATTTATTTTTTTACATGAAGTAAGCTTGCAAGCAGGATTGGCTCAGAAAGTATTCATGTTGCTGGGCGCTCAGCTCTGTGCTTCGGCCAGATTTCCTCTCTTTTCCAGATGTTGGAGCTCCTCCCCGCTGGCCTGCTGCTGCCTCCCACAGCTTGGACCCGGCCAGCAGCCACAGCTGCTACCAATCTGAGGACTCTTATAGGAAACTTTCAGACGGTCAAGAGAAGAGGAGGACCCAGTTTGAAAATGTCTCCTCTACTGGGCTTAAAGTCTTGACACCAGTCAGTTATGCTTGTGGTGGATCAATGTAAACTTATGCCACAGGGCAGTTTTGTGGGAAGTGCACAATAATAATACCTGTGTATTACACATTACAAGAGAGCAAACAGATATCTGCATGTCTCTTGTAATTCAGCTAAAAATAGGAGCTTTTTGCTCGATGTGGCTAAAAGGGTTTTTTTATTGTAATGAAATGAAGAGTTCCCCAGTTTCCAGATTCCTCTGTCTTAGAATTTCACTACAGCAGACTATGGAAAAGTCAACATGTCTGTAAATTTGCGATTTATTAGACAGCGTTGAAAGGAATTCTTTCCATACCGCTATCTTTATTAGATCATGTGTTAAATTCTATTCCAGTGGTTGTTAGATTACATTTTAGCAGGGGAACTGCAAAGGTATTATTTATTTGGGATAATTACTACAATACCTGGACCTACCACAATTTCTGTGCAGGTCCAGGTACTGTAATTGTTGTCTTAAGTGCTTTATTTGACTCTGAGCAACAGAGTGAAAAAGTGGATTATTCTCACTCTTTCACAGAAAACAAAAGTAATCCCCACCTGGCAAACCACAAAGTCCTTCTCTGTTTAGTGATTACAGTTTACACCCTGGAGTAAGGATGAGGATAGAAATCTCTGGCTTTAATCCAGCACAAACAATGGGAGAAGTTGGTGTGGATGTGCGAATAGTTGTAAATTGGATTCACCTACTAACTTTGAGGACTTTTTCACCCACTTGTGGCTGCAGTTGCTCCATCAGCAGAAGCTTCAGAAATGATCCAGTCTCACATTTCATGTTTTAGCCCCCCCCCCTTCATCCACCCTTTGAAACCAATCCGACCTCTCTTCATTTTCATCGCACTGCAATGCATCCGCATTCGTCATCACAGCCGTCTCTGCTTTGTGGTTCCTGATGAGGAAGTTTGTGAAACTGTGTGTGTGTGTGTGTGTGTTTGGGGGGGGGCTAATGCATGAGACAGTGTGCACTAGAGGGGGCTCTTGTGTGGGGTGTGGGTGTGTTAGCAGACAGCTCTCACACACAGATCACTCCTTAACACATGGCTAACATAAACTCAGTCGTTTTGCGGCGTGTTTTTTCCCTCATTTCAATCTCCATGGACAGACAGTTTTCAATGTGGAGCTTACTTTGTATCTCTGTGAAAAGCCCTAATTAGAGACACAGTCTAAGCTAAACCAAAGAAGACAGGAATCAAAGAAAAAGAAAAGAAGTAGCCTACAAGATGTAGGAAAAACATTGAAGAATATGTTTAAAACTAGAAAAAAACCCCAAAACGCTCAATATATTCATAAGTAAAGCCAAAAATGAATGATCCTACTTTCCCCCCAACATTCTGCTTGGTGTTACACAGTTTGTTGAGAAGTGCTTTGGTTTTGATCTTTACACACACAGAGTGTTTGCTTTTCTACTTAGCACAGATATGTGTAACATCTGGCCAGAAGGTGGCATACTCAAATTCTTTCAGTGATTTCAAGTGGCCTTTAATTCACTTTGGAAATTCAGCAAATGGAGAGCCTTATGTAAAAATAAAAAAAAACTACAAAATTAGCTTTTTTGCCAACACTTTTTGTTGTTCTGAAAACATAACAATAGAAAATGAAAATATGATGTAAATGTAACCTTTGACAAAAATGCGGAAAACAAAACAAAACATCTACAGCAAAGTTTTGATGTCACAGATTTTTGTTGTTATTGGCTTTGTAGTTGTGTTACAACATGCAACATTGTGTTTGTGAAATGTTGCATGTTATTTGCTTGCTTTTTATTTTAATACTGAACATTTTCCTTCTTTTTAATGCTGACCTCTTATTGTTGCCGTGTCAAACCATATGCATTTAGCAAAGCGTTAATAAGGGTGTTACATGGAACAACGAGCTCAGTATGGCTGTGTTTTTTCTCTGCATAAGAATATGTACAAGTATAAGAAATGAATGGGACGTCTTCAGTTCCCAGTTGAAACCTCAGCTCCTGTAACTGCAGCTTTGGCGCCCCGTATAAGACAATGCCTCACAGCTTTATGAACCCAAAGACTTAAACCTATTGACCAAGTTTGGCTGATTAAGTTTCAACAGCACCATAAACTGTAAAGTCATTCGCAGTGCTGTCCACTTTCTGAGACGAAGGCTGGAGATGATTCCAGCTGGCTCTGACTTGTGATTCATCCTCTCTGAAATAAAATGTTTGGCAGGCTGTGTGATTAAACTTCTCCAGTGAAAGCACGGCACTATAGACAAAGACATCACAGGAACCACAATGAGAGACTCCACCTTTTTCCCTTTGGTTTGTCGCTCTTCCTGCCACTCCGAACCTTTACTTAGTGAAACTACTGGGAACATTTCTAATGTGTAAATCATACCACTCTTTTCTCTGTCGTTAGCCTCCGATGATCAGGAGGTTCTACAAATAATTCTTTGTCTACTTTGTGCAAATATCTTTGCTAATCTTGGAGGAAAATGGTTTCCCCGTGTATGTCGGGGTTCTTTTGAAGTAACCTGGTTTCTGCCCACTGTAAAAACCAAAAAAACAAACATAAAACAGTGTGTTAGGTCAATTGGAAACTCTAAATTGACCTCAGGAGTGTGTGTGTGTGTGTGTGTGTGTGTGTGTGTGTGTCTGTGTATGTGTGTCTGTGTGTGTGTGTTAGTTTGTCTTGTTCGTCTCTGGGATGGTCAGGTGACCTATCCAGACTGTACCTAACTTTTTGTCCAAAAACAGCTAGGACGGCCTCCGGGACCCCAAGACTAATTGGAAATAATGAATATAGAAAAAGGATGGATGTATATTTTCAGTTTA